CTGGCCTTTCCATCTGTATTCATAGAACTTGTTCCTTGTTGAAGTTGCTACACTTCTGATGCCTTTTTTTTTTCTTTTTAGCTGTCTGAATTTGCCAATCTTCTTCAAGTGTCTGTTGTAACTTAGCAATAGTGATATCCACTATTGTTATTTCATGATCTATTTTTTGTAAGCATTCTTGCACATCTTCACCTTTACCCCCTAGTGCAGGAGATGGGGGAGCAATGATAATAATCTCATTAACTTCTGTTCTGATAGATCTCCTTGGGGATGCCTTATTATTACTTTCAGATTGTGAGTCAGATAGCTCCCTTAAAGGATCTCCTGATGGGGTGGAAACATAGTTCTTTGGGGAATTGTTTCCAGCAGTGGGTGTAGTGTTAATTTGCTGAGTATTTATGATATAGTTCAACTGATTGATCTCCTCAGCATTATTGCTTGTAATCTCCTCAGCATTCTTTCCAGAATCCTAAGTCCTTAGGATTCTTGAGATTGGTCCTTCTTGATGGGGGTTGGAACCTATAGAATCTTTCAATTGTGTGGCCAAACATTTTACAGTGTTGGCAGTAGAATGATTTTTGTTCAGCAACTATTTCCTGCCAAAAACCCTCAGCCTCATATCCTATCCAGATTCTCTTTATTTCTGGGAGAGTTATATCTCTTTCCACTTGAATTCTAGCAATAAAGATACAACAACAACAAGCTTTCATCTCACTAAGTGCGGTTGGCTACACGTATCATTTTTCGCCATTGCATTGATGGATATAATGTTAGATATCACATATTTATTAAGTTCTTTCTGTATAGAGATGCTTATACAAATTTTAGAAAATTTTATGCTCAATCATATGAGCCATTTAAAAGTATTAAAAAAGTGGCACTAATTTGTACATCCTTGATTTGCCAAGGAATTTGCTCATCTTCCTTTTTCTTACCTAGAGGATCTAATGTTATTTAAGAGAGTTAGCAAAACGTCAAATTTGCAAGTTGATTCTTTTGTAGGATGGCAAAATCATTATTTGCAGGTGCCTAACTGATATTATTTTCTTGAGGTGTATCATATTATCAAAGATAATGTGCCAACAAATCATGATGGAGATCATAAATTTCTTCTGGGGTGAAAGAATATAGCACCAATTAAAGGCACTTTGTTTACTACAGGTAACTTAGGCCAAGTTTGAGGTGGAGGTGCACCTGCGGCGCGACAGGGGGCCCTGATTCGGCGCTGTTTGGGGCGGCAAGGCAGCCATGGTACCCCGCGATATCGCATAAATCGGGCTGCGGGTTTGACCCCACTGCTCATTTTTTTCCTTTGGCTTTTTACCCGTCTGCCCCCGCCTTGTTTCAATTCCACCCTAATCCTCTCCTACCTCCTTCGACTCTTGTGCAAGAAAGGTGTGATCTTTCCCCTCCCTCCCCTCCTTCCTCTTCTTCGACGCATCTCACGCTTGTTGGTTCATCATCTTCCTCATTTGTTACTAGAATAAATGCGAATGCATTGATTTTTCATTTTTGGTTTGCTTTGTCACCTTCCTCTATGCGAATGCGAATAGCTCTTTTACTGGCATATATGCAAATGCCTTGTATGGATTGGATATAGGAATTTGATGTGAATGCTATACGTTTTTGGTGTCTTTATTTTTTGTTTGGTCAGCTGTGTGAAAAAAAAAATTTCGTTCATGGATTGAGGATGACAACAATTTGATGTTAGATTTTTTTTTGAGTGAGGCTCTATATTGGCTTGGTTCTGTTGGTCTTTGCATGATGATCCAACAATAAAGACAGGAAAAAAAATTATTGTAGATGCGGCTTGGGCATTGTATTGTTCTTTGCAGTGGCTGGCTTGGAGTGGCTTTGCTTTTGGGTTATGCATGTGGGTTGGCATGGGTTATGTGGCATGGTGTTATGGGTGTAGCATGGTGTTAAGTGGCATGGCTTTGGGTGGATGTGGCTTGGGGTGGATGTGGTTGTGGCTTGGTGTTATCCATTCTCTTAGTATTTTTTTCTTTTTCTTTAGCACTTTCTCTACTCACTGTTAAGCAAGTTGTGTATATGAACTTTTGTTCTGTTTGAAATAAATTTCTGCTTCTGAAGCATCAAATATGTGGTTGTCCCAATTCTGTTTTAAATAACTTTACTAAAAAAGGATAGAATTGTCATTTTTCCATAAACAACTACCCCACTGCTGTTTCACACAACTGTAACAAACAGGTTACCAGCTTCCTCGCAACATCTTTTTAGGGCAGCGCAGTTGCAGTTGAAAAGCTGAGAAGCAGCAGCTACCCCAAACAGACCCTTGGAGAAACATACTTCAGAAATTTTTTGCATTTAGAGAAAATGACCTGGGACAAGAATTTCGAAGACGAAGAATTGGTCCAATCATAAGAACTCAGAGTGAAAATGAAGTACTGGAAGCTTGTGCCTATCAGAGATTAGGAACCCAAATAGATTAGGGGAACGATCTAGATATTTTCTCAGACCAAGCAAATATTCTAAATCTTTGAAGTTTGAATAATTGTACCCATTGTTAAGTGATATTTTCATCTTTCGATTTTTTAAACAATTAAATATTTGTTATTTGTTCAGTCTATATTTTCCAAATCAAAATCTTCTTTTCAAATAAAATAAAAACAATCATATTTTTCTAGCAACTCGGCTTGGGACTAATTTTTCTCTTCATCATTGATGGGTGGTATTGTCTTCATGCATCGATAGTGTGTCTGTGTCAATTATTGTTCCGTTGATATACCTTGCTAATTTCATTCTTGAGCAAGTATAATCAATTAATTTTCTTGATTCTAGAACCATCTGTTGAATTATTCTTAAATAGATGAATTCTAGAATTTTCAATTCTAAATAATGGAACTCCCTGTGAATTAGTAAGTTATTGATTGGATAAAAGAAAACAATTGAAATGAATTTGCAATAAAATCAATTCTTTTCCGTTTTAGGACTAAGTCTTTCACTTCATATCTGCTTCATTCTCTATTTAGGCTGACTTGTTTTTGACAAGTTAACCTAAATTCTATCCTTTTTGAAATTTTCTTTACCGACATAGAATAATAAATAAAATAAAACAAAATGAAAGAAATTTCTAAAAAAAACAAAATAAAACCAAAATAAAATTTATGTGTATAAGTTTCGAAAGAAACGCCCGGTTTACAAGACAAGGTTAAGAGTTTTTTTTATTTGTCTAGAAAATCTCTACGACAAAGATGGGGCACAGAATGAAACTAATTTCTTGGAAATTTTCAAATTTCAGAAAATATGGTCGCCGAAGCTGATCTTCTCGTTTTTTACTGGAATGAACATGGTTGTCAGGAAGAATGCTTTGTCTGATAGACCAGTAATCAAGTGTGGAGAAGGATTTGACAATACTAATGTCAAGTTTGGGAATTTTACTGTTGTCGTTGTTAAGTTTGAGACTGTTGAGTCTGAGATTGTCAAGTCTCTTGAGCCCGCTGTGGAGTTCAACTTGTGGTCTAACAAGTAGTTCCCCTCTCTAAAGAGGATCTTAGTTGAGAAGAAGTCTGTTGTTGCTGCCAAGTCTGTTACTAGGATTGTGAATAGTTTTGTTGTTACTATTGAGATTTTTTTTTGCTACTGCTGATGCTGTTTCTGCCACTAGTTTTATTGTTGTAGTACTTGTTGCTGCCCTTGTGCCAATAATAGGAAAAGAAGATCAGTTTATTGATGGACTTGTTGCGGGGAACGAGTCAACTTTTGCCTCGGTACCCATGAGTCTACTTTGAGGTCTAATTTTTCTTAGTTTTCTATTTTTTTTTTCAAAATAATTTATTTTTCATTAATAAATGTGTATATCAATTAAATATATTTTTTTTCGTTTTTTATTTTAATGAATTAATTTATTAGTACATATTTTTGTTAATTAAATACGACGAAGCTTGCTTGTAATTTGTATACGATGTTATTTAAATTGGGTATAGTAATTTTCAATTTATGCAATTACTTGAAATTTATAAAATTAATTGTTAATAAATTTAAATAAAAATTAGATATTTGTTTAAATGTTTAGGTTGTTTATTAATTCGTTGAAATACTCATTTAATTAATATATAGAAATCAAGTACAAGAAAAATATAATATTAAAAAATTTATGCAAGTCAAGTATCTGCTCGAGCTCGAGCTAACATGAATAACTTATAGTACAACTAAACCAAATATAATCCACACAGATATTGCTCAACTTGCCTCGATTACAATCCTATACAATCAATTAATAGGCTGAATAATAATTGTTGAATTGGGGTAAGCTAATTTTATCCTGTTAACTTAGTTTATACAGGAATATGAATGAAATTTATTCTTTTTCATACTTCAGATGTAATGATCATTAAGTTGAGTTGCTTATTAAAAAGTTCATTTGTAATTGCCTAGAATTGATAAATCGTGTTGTTTGGGAGGATGAATCGAAAGGGGACAAAAGTCGGGCTATATACACCAACAATCAATTCTTTTTTTAACCCAAAAGCTTTAGCTTATTTTTATAAGCCAATTGATTGAAATTTTAATGTCAAAATATTTTCCAACTATGTGATATGGGTTTAAATTTAAAGCGTCGCGCACCTTTAACAATCTCGCTCTCACATGAGATTATCTCAAATCAGCCATCACTTCCTTGTAATTTAGAAGCTACTTACATTAAGAACTTGGTCAATTTAGAAGCTACTTACATTAAGAATGATGGGTGAGATCCATGGGATTCAAAAATCACAAGAATGATTTTATGCTATCTCAACAAATGACTTCGATATGACTTATCAGGGAAAATGAACTTGAATGAGACCATAGTTGAGCTAGACACATTAATATTTTGCCCAATTTCAATCAAAAACCTTAATCCTATTGCTGAGGGTCAACTATTTGATATTTCTACATCAATATATTTTCTATTATTTGATTTGGGATTATATCCAATACCTTTTAGCACATAATTGTGTCATAAACAAATCTTGTAGACTGTTTACAGTCGTGGAAACAACGGACGGGCTGATATTATGCCCCATTGGAACTTTGCTAATCCTCAACTAAGATGTCATTACTTGTTCTAATTCCTAAGGCCCCAAAATTTTTCAGAACCTCACTTGGTCTAGGGTTCGCTGAAAGATGTGCGCTTTCATCCCTCTGGAAACATTCCAACTCCTTAAATCAGATATTACACTTTTTAGTTCTATCCTTGACAAATCTTTTCTTTGTTATACTCATCACTTGTATAATGACTTTTTGTAATGCCGTTGAATGTCCTCGCTTCAAAAGGAAGGAAAAGAAGGCGTTCCATTTTTCTATGCAGCCAAAAGAAACGGAGGAGATTAGTGCCCTTTTCTCCAAGCGAAGATCCGAATCAAAGACTTGTGCAAATGGGTTCTCTCGCAACTGCACTAACTTCATTGAAGATGGAGTTCAGCAATGATTTAAGTTACTTTCCTGGAATGGCCGCTAGCTCTGCTAATACGGCCATCCTAGAGAAGGGTGGAATGCAGGTTTAAAAATATATTAAAGTTTTTAGCTGCTTTTTTTTTTCTCTTTTTATCCCTATCGCAACATTCCTTTACTTTAGCTCAAGATTTTTTTAGCGTTTTCCTTCTCTATTTTCTACTAAATTTTTTCCACCATCAGGTCCTGGCTGGAGAAGATAAAGAAACTTTAGAGCTGTGCAGGACCATGTACAGGAGAGGGGAATGCCCTCCCCTGGTTGTAATTTTTGATTCATGTGAAGGGTAATTACCTCCACTAAATTCACATGGCTTCCAATTTATTATAATCAACAAATGTTGGGTCACTGCAGCTTCACAGTGGAAGCTGATGAGGACATCAAGGACATGACCTTTATCTCGGAGTACACTGGAGACGTGGATTACTTGAAAAGGCGAGAACATGATGACTGTGACAGCATGATGACCCTTCTCCTTGCAACAAATCCATTTCATAGCTTAGTCATCTGTCCAGATAAAAGGGGAAATATTGCTCGTTTCATCAGTGGAATTAACAACCATACTCCGTAAACACTGCTCTACTATTTTCTTTTCTCATGTTTTTCTATCGAAGCACTCAAATCTGCTTGCAGTTGTTACTGAATGTCAGAACTTACTGCAGTTGAATTATCATTTTTCTGCAGGAAAGGCATGAAGAAGCAGAACGTTAAATGTGTCAGATATGATGTCAATGGTCAGTGTCGAGTCCTACTTATCGCTTGTCGCGACATATCTCGTGGCGAAAGGCTTTATTATGACTACAATGGGTACGAGCAGGCATACCCAACCCAGTTTTTTTTGTAATATTTCACCGAAACATTAGCTTACCCATTTATCATTGGAAACCATAAATCTATGATTTGAGGGGCTGCTTTTTACTTACTGTACACCCGGTTCCTTTTACCATTTAAAGGCCGCCAGCGGTGTTCCATGAGGCATTTTTTTTTCCCATAATTTTAATGCATTTTTGCGTCCATTTTGCATTTCCAGCTTCATTATCAGATTTATTGTTCTGCTCTCTTTTTACCCGCTAAAATATTTCTGCGATCAACATCAAGGCAATTATTCTTTTACTGAAGGCATACCAAAAATTTCACTTGTGTGCTCCCTTGGCTTTGAATTACTATTTTATAAATAAATTTTCTCACAAGGGACAAAACTACAACAACCTTTTCAAGAAATTTACACTTGTCACTGAAATGTTTTTTATTTATAAAACTAGCAACATTTTTTTGGTAAAATGAACTGGTATACTTATCCATTTGATGAGGCTGAATTTTTGAATAAAAAAATTGCAACACGAAATATTTTATCCATTTGATGAGGCGTAGGATCTTGCGTATATTCATCATCCTCGATGCTATTCTGCTAACCTTGGTTAAAACTAGTGTCCATTCTTGTGTATGAAGTTGGTTTTGGTTTTAAATGTGGCTTCTTAAATTCTTTATTATCTTAATCATATGATTATACTTAATACGGAAATTTTGAATTGAAGAGCATTTCAGTGTCTTAATCACATAATAATATATGCATGCAAAAATCTTTTCTCAAAAAATTAATATAAATTTTATTTTAAATGTGGCTTCAAGAATTTGATACTATTTAAATAAGTAACAAATTTTAGGTGTTGGATATGTGAATACTTAAAATTATGCAATATGTATTAAAATACCCCATATTTATACTCTATCTAAGCCCATTCAGATATAGTTCCAGATAAATTTGAATTTAGTCTACGTTTTAAAATTCTATTTAAATTAAATTTTATTTTTTTAAGAGTTTAAGCGATATATGCATTAATTGAGATACTAGTTAACTATTAGGACGACAGCAATGCTTTTATAATATTCTCTTATTACTAAAAATATATGAATTTGAACCTTTTCATCTAAATTTACATGCCACTCATTAATTATTATGCCTAAAATTTTGCACGACTCAAATGCATGCAAATAAATAAATAAATTGTTGATTCAACCTTGCTATGTTCTCAAAAATTTCTCAAATTTGGATCTTAAAAGTATACATAAATTTTCAAATGTGAAAAGTTTTAGATCTTAAATTGTTTTGTGGATCGCGATCAATGAATAGAGCGTTAGTTGAATGAGAGAAGAAAGAAAGAAGTTTTAAACCGTCTTTATATTTTTAGTGAGGATGCCATTCGGAGATTTTTTTCTTGAAAATAATCCTCTTATTTATAGTTTATAGGTAGGACTTGATAAATTATATGATTGTCCTCATTTTAAAAAGGAGACATTACTATAATTAATGAGCCATTACATTTACATATTTGCAATTGAATGACATTTTTTCTAACCCCGTAATAGCTGTTAGCGCCGCTACATTTTGTAATAGCCTTAAACACAACTTTACATTGATAACTATCCAATTCACTTGGTTGAAATTTATTTGGTCAGTTAGGATTCATTTGGTTGGACCAAACATCCTTCGATCGACTTAGATCTTTGATCGCCCATTCTGTAAAGATGCGTCATTGTTGCGTAGGATTGTTTCATCGGGCGGGTAGAGGGTGAATCACCTAATCTGACAAGCAGCCTCCGACTTAGATCTTTGATCGCCCATTCTGTAAAGACTCGTCATTGTTGTGTAGGATTGTTTCATCGGGAAGGTAGAGGGTGAATCACCTAATCTGACAAGCAGCCTACGTTCGATCTTTGTGTCTATACTAAAGAACCTCATCTTGGACGACTGTTGATTGTCATGATGATAACTACATGAAAGTAGGTGCTGATGAGGCCATGTGGTATTTGTTGGGTCATTCATTCTATTCATTCAATCGGCAAATGAGATCGACTGATCGTATGACGAATAATCCATGCTCTTTATGTCTTCAATTACTTCTCCCTATTTCTAGAACCTACCCTACAAGAGACAAAAGAAAAAGGAAACCTGACTGTTTTCGCCCACTCCTTAAGGAAAAGGTGGGTGAGGAGTTGCAGTTGATTGAGAAGAGGAAAAGAGTTGAGAAAAAAACTGTCGGCGAAAAAAGGATAGTAGAATCAATAAAAACTAGTTAAACGCCTAACCACAAAACTGCTCGTGTAGAAGAGGTTGGTGAATCTTCCGACTCAGTACTGCTTATTGAAAAGAGTCAGAAGGGAGGAAAAGTATTGGACTCTATACAACTTCGTGTTGACCTCACTTTTGGTTGAGGTTTAGTTTTTCCTCTTTAGTAGTCTAGGGTCTAGCCATAGGACTTTCATGTTGACTATTCCTAAAAGACTAGAAAAGGAACCCTCACTATTAGAAACCCTAAACCACTCTTTTCTCAACTTGAAGTTCCATATATTGGTCCTAACCTCTAGCACTTAGTAGGTGGGGTCAATATGGGGGAGCTCAAGGTGAGTCCTCGTAGGACTGCTTGGCCTTAAGGCTGACCATTGGTGTTGGTCTGGAGCTGGTTCATTCACTTGCACTAACTTTCACTCACTTTCACCCACTTTCAATCATAACCCTAAACCCAAAATTTCTTCAACCCAAACATTGTTGACTTTGATCCGTTGATCCATTGGGAGACTCATGTAAATGGTCCCCTAGACCCACTGAGGTTTAGCTAGGACCAGTACATAAATGACCTAAATAGGGATTTCATTGGTCCATGGCTCACATAGAGTGGTTGGCACCCCAATTTCACCAAAATATCCAACTTAGCCTTTTGCCCCACAAACCTATCCAAATTACCTAAACACACCCAAACCCTAAATTTTGCCAAAAATCCCAATTTCACCCAAAATACCCAAATTTATTCTAAATTCATTTCAAACCATTTCAAACTACTCAAATTTCCCAAAACCTCCCAAAAGTTTCAAAACATCCCAAAATTTCCAAAATTACCAAAAATTACAAATTTCCAAAATTACCAAAATACCCCCAAATTTGGCCAAACTTACAAAAATACCCTTGGTGGCTCAAACTTTCCCAAAACCTTCAAAATCATCCCAAATATCCCCAAAACTAATTTGGACCCTTCAAGTGAACCCAATTTGATCAATTTTACCAATTTTGACCAAAAACTCCAAATTGCTCTTAAGGGTCCAATTTCCCCAAATTCACCCCAATTGTCCATCAATTTGACCCCAATCTCCCTCAATTTTAATTAAAAACTCAAAATCATCATGCCTATGATAATTTCAAACCAAATCCAAGCTTATTTGGCCCATGACTTGAGTCCAATTTCAACCCAAATCAAAAATCCCTAATTTAGCCAAATCCCACTTAATTGAACCCCCAAATCCTTCCAATTAAAAATCCCCAATTTAGCCAAATCCCAATGGCCCCAATTATGCATCATAAACTCTTTGAAACAGCTCAACACACCAAATTAAACCCTCAATTGACCTTGATCAAGCTTCAATTCCACTCAATTTTATCCCAAATCCAAAATCCTCAAATTTGCCCCAATTTGCCCATGTCTCCAAATGTCACCTAAATGAATGTCCAAACCCCAAAATTGACACCCGATTGATGTTGAGAACTCTTAATAATATTCAGATAAACCATTTTAAACCATAAATTTGGACTTATCCCAAATCTAGCCCAACCTAAGCCCAAGTCTAACCCCGCTAAACCATTTTCAACCATAAATTTGGACTTATCCAAAATCTAGCCCAACCTAAGCCCAAGTCTAACCCAACACCCCTAAATTGACCACATGCCCAAAATCCCTCAAATTGAACCTCCTCCTAATTGGACCTCCAAATCAATTCAAAATCACCCCAAATCTTTTTTAAACCCTTCATGACAATCATCTACACCAAATTGATTAGTTAATTGGGCTCAATGTCATGGCTAAAACAACCCCTAGCCCAAACCTAACTTCAAGCCAATTTGACCCAAATTGAACACCTTCACCAAAATTGACTTAGCCATGCCCAAATGACCAAATTAATGACACCATAGCCACTAGGTGGAGTCTAGTGACCAGGCTAGACCCACTTAGCTCACTGTAGGTGATCCATGGACCAAAGGTCCCCTAAATCAAGGGATTTGTTTCCTAAATTGCTTAAGCCAAAGATATTTTTCTGAAAACCCATCACTAGCCCAAATTAATTGTTGTGACAGATTCCCCTGAGTTCTCTGAGCCACTTGAGCACCTTCCCTACCATGGCTAGCCGCCCTAGTCACTAGAGGAGCTAAAATTGAGAGTCCCCATGCCTAAATTCAGACCCAAATTCACTCATCTTAGCTGGTCTTTTCCAATTGACATTAACACTTTGAAACCCTCCACATAAGCATCATTTAACACCCACTAATTGGCCCTGACAGCTGATACACTGATAATATATGCTTTTTTAGACCCATATTTTATACCTATTTTTGGTGATATTGTACTTTAATGGAAGGTATTTTGATGTTTTCTT